AAGTCAGAATTCTGACTTTTTTCCCATATTAAACTGAAATAATATTTGAAAATCAGTTCAGAGGCCCTAGTCCTCTTCTGTAGATTTCTGCAGAAAAGGGGTCTGCAAATTATTTCAGATGCAAACTTAAAGGGGTTTTGCAAGAGGAAAAAATGACACGAGCTTGAAATTTCCATTTTAAAATCATTTTTAAATGTCTGGCATAAACAGATAAACCTTCTTTAAACACGTTTTGCTGCATTAGCTGCTACCTGAGGAGAAGTACTAAATTGATTCCCATCTTTATTGCTGTTCAAGAGCCACACAAGGTCCTCCCAAGGGCCGGAAATGTCCCCATGTAGCACTGTGAAAACCTCAGGTTTAAAAAAAACTAAAAACAAAAAACCCTTCTCTGTAGGACTTTGTTTAAACATAATACACTGAGCCAAACATGTATATATGAAACTAAAGGAAAAGTGCAAGTAATTTACTTTTAACTTGATAGAAGTAAACAGTAGAACAATAAAACATGTTTCTCATTATTCTAACTATTATGCATTAAAACAAGCACTCTGATGTCCTGCTTATTAAGATGAAAAAGATCATTTTATTTATTGTAAGCCAGTTTAGGCTTTAGTTCTACATAAAAATAAATAAATCTAAAATTCCTGCTGCTTCTGCAGACTTAAACTAAACAAACAGACCAACAGGAAGACTCTGGAGTTCATTAAATCATTGGAATGAGGTGTGTTGATCAGGGCCAAAAAAGTTAATACAGTTTGTTGATTTGTTATGTTCAGAGTGATATATTTGAAGTTTTTGAGTTACCATCAATGAGTGCGGTATAGAGCATTGATAACCTCAGATTCAATCAGTGCAAGTTTATATATCACAAAAGATTAATCCAATTTACCGGTAATACAGAAGGTTGTAGAAATGGCGATCATTGAAAGTACTGCATCTATGTGGCATGACACCAGCTGTGGTTTGAAGGCAGCTCACACATTTCATCACCACTTCATCCAATTAACGCTCTATGGATTCCTTTGGAGGCTTTCCATTGGACAAGTTGGCTGGCCAATCAGGCACAGGGATGGCATGGTCATTAACCTGTTGGTAGCATGGGACTTTTTCCTTCAGCTCAACTTTCCATCAATATTCTTGGTTAAGTCAGCCTGTGTGCAGCAGGAATCTGACTCAGCCAAGTCAGCATTTTCCTATATAATGGTTGGAGACATAAAATAAAATTTTTAATTGGAAATAATAATTTTTATTGCTCTATGATTATCATGCAACTGAATTTCTGGTTTTAAATAGCTGCAAAATTCATATCAATTAACATTTTATTTATTTTTTAATTTTTTTATAATATATATATTTTTCAATTAACATTTTAAAAATGTTAATTGTGTGCAATGAATATAAATTTCCATTTTGGACTGAAATTCTGAATTAAATGTATTTGCTGATGATATTGTAATTTATTATGATCCATCTGGACATTGACCAAGTAGATTAATCACCATCTTTCTGATGCTGTAGTCAAACATTTCTGCTTTCTTTGACTTTATTTACCCACTTGGAATAGGTCTTACTACTTAATCTTGTTATGCATCAATGTATTTGTCTGAAATCTAAAAAAAAAAATAAAAATAAAAAGAATGTCCAGAGCAATCTTGCATAAAAAGCTGGTAGTATTGTTGGTGTATTAGATTTGGGAGCTCATTCTGAGGGATTTGTTTTTGGGCCAGATGGCTGGGATGATCTTCATCCAATCTACTCTGGGGGCTTTCACGCACATTTCAAATAAATATTCTCTGTTTTGTTTTTTTCGCCCTGAGGATCAGAGCTTTTATGTTTCTCTTATCAAAATGAAAACGTATAACCTAGTGTATTTAGCCGTCTGAAACACAGAGTCCAGGCTAAGGCTCTTTTCAGGCCCCCAGTCTGTCGTTCTCACACAGCCGCTGGTCTACTGGGGATTTGACTTTTTTATGATCTAAGATGTTTGTGAGGGAAAGGTCTAACACCTTAGATGTTTATATACTCAGAGGATCCACAGCTGACTTTTATTTTAGAAGCATTTTTTGTTTTGTTTAAAAAAACAAAGAGTCTGGAAAAAGAAAAGCACAGCAGCTGTAGGCGATTGTGTACTAAACCTATAGAGCATCAGATACAGTGTTATGGTTGTTTTTAATATTTTCTGAACAACAATGTTTGAATTAGCGTGTTTCCATCTGTATATAAAAATGATTTGATTAATGATGATTTTGCTGGAGCTGGACCAGCTTTTTAGCTTCAGCATTTCCAACCAACTCTATGCTTTCAAGTAGCAGCAGAAATGAAACAAGCTCTAAATAAATCCTCTTCTGTCTAGGTTTTATTTAAAGTGTCACAATGACTTATTTCGTAGAGAAAGCTTAAAGCAAGACAAGGTTTCTGACCTTTCTGTGAAATCAGAGGAACACTCTTTAGATCTGGGCTGTCACCTCTAGAGCAACATGTCTGGGTCTGTTTTTTGTACTCACTATGAAACTGTACATTATTGAATCATGATTAAACTGTCCTCCTTGAAAAAGCATCTACTTCACATTTGACATAAATGCATCGGAGAAATATCACTAACTTTTCAGCTTTGCCTTTTTTAATAAATAAATAAATCTATCTATATATATATATATATACACTATATTGCCAAAAGTATTTGCTCACCTGCCTTGACTCACATATGAGCTTAAGTGACATCCCGTTCCTAATCCATAGGGTTCAATATGACGTCGGTCCACCCTTTGCAGCTAGAACAGCTTCAACTCTTCTGGGAAGGCTGTCCACAAGGTTTAGGAGTGTGTTTATGGGAATTTTTGACCTTTCTTCCAGAAGTTCCTTTGTACGGTCGCACA